GCACCTTCCACAACCCCACCTACTTCTCCCGGTGCCTCGTGCGCTTCTCCGACCTCTACATGGCCTCGCTCAGCTGCCTGCTCAACTACCGGGTGGACTTCACTTTCTACCCACGCCACACGTCGCTGCAGCACGAGGCCCCACTCTGGATGGACCAGCTCTGCACTGGCTGCATGAAGACACCCTTCCTGGGCGACATGGCTCACTTCCGCTGAGGGCAGCTTTATTGTCCCAGACAAGCCCCCAGCTCTCTTGCCCTGCCCGCTCTGGGCATCTGTCCAGACAAGCAATAAAGGCCGCCCGTCTCCTTAAAAAAAAAAAAAAGTGAACTGGGGGAGACAGAAGGAAGAGCAAGAGGGTAAAATGGTAAAATGTACAACAATGAATGAATGAAAATCTAATTTCTCCATAAATATACGTCAAATCACAATTAAAATTAAATTTTATTTTAAAAAATTAAGAAATAAGTATGTTCATGAAAACACAAATATGCACTTAATTTAGGCTATAGCCATTTTTAATTATTTACTGGGCATCTGAGAGCTGGACCATGAGAAAGGATGATAGAAACAGAATTGATGCTTTTTAGTTGTGGTGTTGGAGAAGAGTACTAGATATCCCATTGATTGCCAAAAGAAAAAGCAAAAATATCTTGTAGAAAGTGAAGACTGAGTTCTTCTTAAAGCTATGTTGTTAAGAAAAGCTTTTCCTTGCAAAGGGGAGCTCTGGTGGCTAAGTGGTAAAAAAGTATACTGAAAACCTCTAGATAGGTAGTTTGGATCCACCGGCTGTTCCCAAGATGGAATGATGAGCAATCTCCTCCTGTGCAATTTACTGCCTCTGAAAACCTGCTGGTTTGTCAGTTATGTGTTGTTTCTGACTGGAAAATATACAAGAACAATACCATTCCTTGAAAAGAGAACACTACATTAGAAAGGTGTAGAGAGGGTCAGCTGAAGAAGATGAAAATCCTAAATGAGATGGATTTACACAGTGACTTATGTATGTCAGTGTTAAGGATGGCAGAGGTTAAGGCAGGTTTCAGTTTTGTTGTTTATAAGTTGTTATAAGTTGAGTAGTACTCAACTCTGAGCCACCTTACAATAATAAAAAGATTTTTTAATATTATATTTGGAAGCAAGAAGGATGAGACTCCACCTCATATACTTTGGACATGTTGCTAAGAAGTGCTATTCCTTGGAGACGGACATGATACTGGGAAGGGTGGAGGGTCATCAAATGAAAGGAACACCCTCAGCCAGGTGGATTGACACAGTGATTGCTGCAATGGGCTCTGATGTGAGGATGGCACAGGATAGAACACAGCTCACATCATTTGTTCAATGTGTCACTATGAGTCATGTTCAACTCAACGGCACCCAACAACAACATATGAGTAGACTTCTAAGTTTCTTACTTCATTACCTTCAAAATGCAATAGCCCTCTTAGAAATGATATAAAGGGGGAGAAAGTGTCTAATTATGCAGCGTCTGTTACATAAAGCGAGTTGCTAAATTTTACACCATTTTCAATTTCCTCAACATCATTGTGTCAACAATAATGTATTTTATTATGAAGATGATATGAGTGCATTGAATGTTGTTTGTGTTTCCTTTACCTCTGTTACCAAAAAGTTTAAATATAAATGGTGTAGTTTTCAGCTCAAAAAAATTCATCAGGTTCTCAGAACTGCACTGAGTTGTTCCTGCCAAGAGTGCCTTACAAAGCATCTTATGGAGGCAGAAAATGCACATGGCAAATCTTCTGTCTAAGCTCTTACTATGGTATCCCCTGGGCAAGCTGTACCAGTGATCCTAGAGCATAAGGTTTAGATGTGTAAACAAATGGGAAGTTGTTAAACCTTTACTTATCCAAAACCCTTAAATCAAAATATAAACTTAGTAATATCAGCATGAAAATTTATATTGGCTATATGTGAAAATAAGCAATAAAATTTTTGCTAGGATTAAGCAAATCATCAGCTTTTTGCTATTTCCCCACTAATCTCCCTGCTAGAGAACGTACCAAATCCAGGAGGCAGTCAGCACAGCATACTTTCTTAAATGACTGTTTGGCACTTACACCCTGAGAACCATTCATTTTTCACCTCAAGAGAGCAAGAAAACACTTTCAAATATTTTAGTAAAGTGATGATTATGAAAGTTGGAAGTTTGACTAAATTGAAATTGAAAACAATATGAATGATTTTTATTTTGCAAGCTCTTTGATTCTAACAGTTATGTGTAAGTGATTTTATTCAGAAGGCAATTATGACTATTAAACAATATGGAGATGGGTTTCTGGCTAAATAGATATAGGTTTATTAGTTATAAATTTGATTGACTCATATTCTTTTTAGAGTGTATAGATATTCCAGTAAGACATGCCAAAGTGATATCTGTTGTTGTTTTTGTTAAGTGCCATGGATTCGAGCAGACTCATAGTGACCCTATGAACAAAAGATCTGATCCATATTCTATCCTTTGCCATCTACACACTTCATAATATGCTAAAGCCCATTGGGGAATCACTGCAATAATTCACCTGGTCGAGGGTCTTCTTCTCCTTCGCAGACCCTCTATGCTTCCTAGCATCATGTTCTTCCCCAAGAAATAGCTCCTCCTTCCAATATGTCCAAAGTATATGAGGTAGAGCTTCATCTTTCTTGCCTCCAAAGAACACTCTGCTGCGCCATCTTCAGGATTTTTCATTTCCTTCTCTTGGGTGTCTATGGGATGTTCAGTGTTCTTCTCCACCACAGCTCAAAGGCATAAATTCTTTTAATTGTCCATCTCTCAGATGCATGGCAAGTGATCAGAAAGCCTATGAATTGAATCAGATGCACCCTAGTCCTCAAACTGATATTATTACTCCTCAAGAATTTTGAGAGATACCTAACTGTAGATTTTTCCAGTGCAATGCTTCTCCTTGTTTCCTGACTGCTGGTACCAAGGGTATTAATTGTGGATCCAAGCAAGAAGAAGCTGTTGACTGTTTCAATCTCTTCTCCATCCATTGTGAGTTTGCCTATTTGGATCTTTGTTTTCTTGACATTGGGATGCAATCCATACCGAAACCTGTATTTCTTGATCTTCTGCAACAAGCACTTCAAGTTCTCCTTACTTTCAGCAAGGAAGGAAGCTGGTGTCATCTTCATAACACACTTTTCATGATAAGTTATATCCTGAAATGCAATGTTATGAATGATAGGATAATATCCATATACATACAAGGAAGATTGATTAACACAACTAATAATCAAACATATGATCCTACATCTAGAGTCAAAGAGGAAGGAATGGAGAATTTTTACCAAATCTTGACTGAACATGCAATCAAGATGTGTTAATGATGATTGGTGACTGGAATACAAAAGTGGGAAACAATAAAGAAGGGATAGTAGTTGGAAAACTACTACAAATTCTATTTTTGCTAGTATTTTACATAGGAATTTTTTTTGTAGATTATGTTTTTGGGTTTTTTATTTTGATTTCAATGAAAGTTTACAGAAACGTTTAATTTTCATTCATTAATTGTTGCACATTTTACTCCTTAACTCCTCTGAGTTAACTTTATATTTTTTATAAATAGAAATGTTCATTTATTGTTGCATAATTTCCTCCGTTCCCTCTTATTTTTCCTGAGTCCACCTTGCTATGCACCTCTTATTCTGTACAGTTGTAATACAATTAATGCCCAATAGTATACTCCTTTAAAATAGTTCTTTCCTTCATATGTTCCAATACAGGGTTCATTATTCCTCCCCACTTTTCCATCTCCTGCAGTCCTGTTTTATAACAGTGATGTAACACAGTATTTTCCTTTTATAACTGAGATATTTATCTCAGCATAAAGTCCTCCAGGGTCATCCATGTTGCATAATACTTCGAATTCCTTGTTTTCATTGTTGAATATATTTTAACTGGCAAAGAGTAGATGAGCTACCAGTCTTCAGGCCTAATTAATTTAATTTTTTTGAAATATATAGTTACATTGGTAAAAGTAAAAAATAAAAGGTACAAGTCTAGTTAAAGAATTAAATGAAATCACACATTTTTGAAGTGTCCTCTGTCCATTCTTTATGGCATACGAAATGGATTCTAGTAATAATAACAACAGCATATTCTGTGAAAAGTTAAAAGATATATAGTCTTTGAGTAGGAATGCTAAAGAAAAATCAACATTCAAGGAAAAACAAATTAAAACTACATTAGAAAAAGGGGAAGCCTCTGGTATCTATAACATAGCCATTAAACTGATATTCTTGCATTTTAGCACTTTAAAGAAGACCTTTAAATATACAGCAGATTGAGTTTATGTACGTGTAAGACAAATAAGTATTCTAGAGTTCTTATTCTTCTC